TGTATTAGATTGATACCGTGTACATATTACACATGTATGTTGACACGTCTTCAAAACAATCGGATTAGCGATTATTAGACATTGAAGGTATGGATTCAACTTAATAAATTGGAGAGCTTAAATTTTGCTTTGCAGTTTGATTTCGTTAATGTAAAAGAAATTTCTACGCACAATTATAATTTCACTTTACTTGCGTGTACTTTCGAAAATACATGTATATCAAAAACATTTTACTCAAACGAAACACATTTTAAACAAGTTATTTTTCGTATTATTTAGTGAATATCCTGTCCATGCTCTGCCTTGTGCCATGTCATGTGGGGGTTTCGTTCATTGAATGCCGCCTTTCATTGTTGATCCTGCTTACCATATTTTAGTGGTCAGAATGACATCATTCTAATTCCGAAGAGGCAAGGTCGAATCCTGAACAAACATTTGTTTTATAGATTTCTTAAAAAACATTATATGCAGCATTAATGGATTAAGCATTTGTTTTATTTTTTGTGTCTTTTCGTAAAACAATATGAATAAATAATAAAAAACAATAACACTATTTTAAGATTCGGACCTACAACCTTTATTTGAAACTAAAACACCGAACTGAGGCTGTTTTGGCAAGTGTTGTGACATACATAAACCATGTTTATGATGTATACCATTATGCCATACCTTTAAATCCGGATGATTTACTTCGGAATACGACACTTACCGACAAAAGTGCATTGAATATCAATATTAAACAAATAAAACATGGTCTTGATGGCAATATGCAAGTTTACGGATTGGTTGGCCAGACTGAGGACGGTATATGACCCGAAGCGCAGCTTTCTTTTTACAATTTACGCTTGATGTCATTTTTTTGTATATACTCTATTTTACGTAAATATCCGTCTAAAGAAAATTACGAATCATTGTTGATTTTGCATTTAGAATTATTTAAAGGCGACCAGGTATTGTAACCGCTGCGGGGAGTTTGATAATCTGGGACCAAAAATAGTTTCGTCTAAGATTAAACAGATAATTTTTATCAGATGTATAAACCTTGTTTCCCTATACATGTACCCCTGTAAACGTTTTACAATGATAATTTGAAATTATAATTGGTTTTAAAATTTTATCACCAACATGAACATTTTAGGACAATAAGAAGTTATGTTTTTGTGAACATCAGGTATATTACCTTTAGAAATCTACCATCATTACGACTGAAGTGCGCATGTCACTTTTATATATGTGTGCTTGTGGAAGGCTATGGAAAATTAATATGGAGAGGTACATATACTTTTTTACGTGCACTAAATTTACCTTTAAATACCTTTAAATCCGGATGATTTACTTCGAAATACGACACTTACCGACAAAAGTGCATTGAATATCAATATTAAACAAATAAAACATGGTCTTGATGGCAATATGCAAGTTTACGGATTGGTTGGCCAGACTGAGGACGGTATATGGCCCGAAGCGCAGCTTTCTTTTTACAATTTACGCTTGATATCATTTTTTTTTGTATACTAGTATACTTTATTTTATATAAATATCCGTCTAAAGAAAATTACGAATCATTGTTGATTTTGCATTTAGAATTATTTAAAGGCGACCAGGTATTGTAAGACTTTTTTTCTGAAAATTCAAATTCATCTCATTTATCTTTAACCTGCTGATTGTCTTTGCACAAATTTGATCAGTATAAAGACAAAGAAAATAATGACTTGCACATAATCATATAATGTGGCAAACACCCCACAGCGGTTACGTCACGCTTTGTTCCTTTAAAATTCTGTACTGATTAAGGGAAGTAACCGCTGCCGGGAGGTTGATAATCTGGGACCAAAAATAGTTTCGTCTAAGATTTAACAGATTTAACGAAAGTTTGCTGTATTATGAATTTGTTATTGCTAGACATGATATGTATGGCACTGTATAAACGGTTGTTTGCGACAAATTCCGAGCCGCTTTATGCTTACAGCCGCTTATTTGTACAAGACCGCATTCCATATTAAAAGCAGTAAAATGTCTTTAATATTGTCCATGAAAAAGCTACATCAAATTGGGCCAGCAACATTTTCAATATTGATATTTATATTGTTTGACGATTAAGATCGATATTTTTGAACAAACCTATATATTGATTGGAGAGAAAGATATAAGTGAATATGTAAAGGAAGTTTGTGTGTGTGTGTTTTTTAATGTGTCAGAGTCGGGTCGCCTGAATCTCAAAAGGAAGCAAAATCGTTGCATTTTTTATTAATTCGATACATTATATACTCGTATGTATTGTAAATCGAAGGAGCAAATAATAAATAATAATAATAATATAATAATAATAATAATTATAATAATAATAATACTAATAATAATAATAATAATAATTATAGTAATATCTTTATTTAAAGAAGGTTACACATTAAGAAAATACAATAACAATCATTTATTTTATGCTTTTCAGTGGATTACTGATTTATCCGTGAAAATTATATTTGATAATTTCACAGTGAAAATTATCAAAATATAATTTCACTTTTTTCAATGACGAAACTACTTTTGAAGATTTTCCCCATGTGGTACCTCAATTTTATTTTTACTGACAATTCTGACAATGTCAGGCTGTTAAAAGAAATAGCAAAGCTGAAATAGATAAATAACTTAAATGTCAAAAGTAGTAAAGAGAAAACTTACTTCTATTTCTTCAAATTCCAATCACTAAATTTCGTCTCTATTTTTTTTTTCGTTTTTACAGTCTGAAAAATACATTCCTTCCCCATGCAAAACTGATCTTGATGACATTTGGGCATATTAAAGCAGCATCCTACGAGCAATAACTGCCGTATGCTTTATGAAAAATTGAAAAGCATTGACAGCCATCACTCGTAAAATAAGTAAAACAACCCAGCGTTCCTTAGCAAGCTTCCAAATTTTCCATTTTCCTAGCTCCTTTTCTGAATGTTTTTACTTCTGTCAACACTTATTTTTTGTCTGTTACAATCCTCAAATAAGTTTTCTTTCTTTGAAAAAGGTGTATGTCTAACAAATCTAAATTATATCCTTCTGAATCTTACACAATTATTTTCCTCCCATGAAATACACAACTTTAAAAAATGGCTGCCGCTTACATTTTACAAAGCCAGGTCTAATATAAATTCGCAGTAAGTAACAGAAATATGAATGGATGGTTGGACTTTTTCTCCTACAAGAATTGTTTGTTTTTATTATTAAAACAAGCGATCATTCATATTTTTTTTAATAAAATGAATAAATATCACCGTTATTTAACCTTGATTGGCGGACTTATTTTCAGCTCAAGACTTCTTGTTTTAAATGAGAAATTCCGTCTAAATGGGGCTCTCAATGGGGGAAACAGATTTTAATATTAACGTTAAAATTATGGAAATTTGGTTTTAACTTGTTTTTAAGCATAAAATAAAAAGAAAATTTGTCTGTTTGTTGTGTAAGATGTAATTTTATTTCATCTCGTGAACTTTAAAAACAGTATTCTCACTCGTGGCTACGCCACTCGTGAGATACTGTTTTTAAAGCCCACTCGATGAAATAAAATTTCATCTTACACACAAACAAACAAATATCCTCTATATATATCTTATTTCCAATGTGGCCTTCTGAAATAGAAAACAACAACAACAACAACAACAACAACAACAGGACATGCATAAGGATGACACATTGGAGGAAAGTAGCAATTTGTTACGAAATAGATTTTCACAAATACCCAGTCGCCCCCAAATATATGGTTATGAATGCTCTACACTCATATTTTCATTTTCATTATCTGCCCTTGAAACTCTGCAAATACCTCGACCTTGGCTTACAGATCTTGAGTTATACCAACAACAACTTTGTTTTTCTCTTTTCATCATCATCAGTGTTTCCTTCCCATCAATTGTTTTCCTATATTTTCTTTCTCAAAATACTTTTTTCAATTTGCCGTCTTTTTGCCATTTTGTTTATTTCATTCTTCAATTTTATTTCATATTCCTTCCGTAAATCCATTTCTCTTCCATTCATTTACCGCCTCTCTTGTGTATCTTGTTTACTTGATCTTTGAACTTTTCCTGCTCAATAATTTTGATCATACTGTGAAACACGTTAACTTTAATGTGATTTACTCTGTAATTTTATCATACATATATATCACATGTTTGCATTATGTTGTCATTCATAACACTGTCACATAATAAATATAACATGTCCTGTAAAACAATATAAAAGATATAATACAATGATTGCAACAAAAAATAAATAAATAAAACTAACCTTGCTTAAAAAGATGTACTGACTCACTATGAATATGTATACAATTTCCAATTTCAAACATTAGTAAAGTTTTCTACTACAAAATCGTTTGGAGAAGCAAACCTTGGAGAGCAAGGGTTGCTTTAGTTGCGATGCGCTTGATTTAGTTGTTGTACGTGAGACATTTTGTATGCAATGTTATTCAAATTTCAGTCACATTTTTCACCGAAAAGTAAGTCACAAATATGATCATTCTGTTATGTTGGACACACTTATCGTTGACTCTGCCTTACATGACAGTTAAGTGAATTCGCAAGCAATGTCATATTAAATTCAGCTATATTGCAACTTGAATCACTTTGAGTAAAACGAAAGTAGTTCGTTATTTTGAGAGAAAAATAATTGATATAGTTCGCACTTTCGGATTTACGACAATTTTCATATTGAAGTACATTGTGATTTGATTCTATTGTATATTACTTACCGAATTTCCTTTTCTATTTGGTTTTTACCTGTAATAACATGTATATAACTGCTTCGTTTTCGACAAATGTATTTAAACAATGTAACCTATTTAACTTTTCATAGGGTGATTACAAATTGTATCTAGGTGCAAAATTATCAAATTATTTGATTAAAAAACCGATTTAGTTTAAACATGTAAAATATAGGTCATTGAAAACTTTGTCAACATGAGATAAGATACCTTTAGATAACTACGTTTAAACATGACAATTTATGTATAAATATATCGAAGTGTGCATATATCTCTGTGCCGGTAGAAGGCTATGGATCATTAAAATGGAGAGGTATATTGACATTATTTTTACAAACAATAATTATTTAATCGAACGCAAGTTCCATGAGTAAATATGTGATTTATAAATGATTTGAATAATAATCATTAAATTAATTATAAATCAACCTACGGGGAAAATTAAATGTAATAAACTACATTTTCATATTTTCTTGAAAATATCAAGGTCAGCAAGAACACAAATATTAAAAGCCTGGTCCTTTTGACCAAAGGTCATAGGTTCACGAGTTCGAATGTGTTTTGATTTATTATAATATGTTTCCGTTTTCAAAGAACTTAACAGTTATATAGAATAATTATTCTATGGGCTTCTGTGGTCGTTTGGTTAAGGTCGTTGACATCAAAGTTCAGATCACTTGCCACTTTTATGGGTTCAAACCCAGAATGTTTTTGAATTTTTGCCACTTGAAAAACTATCCAGCTAGCTTACGGAACGTCGGTGGTTCTACTCAAGCATTTGTTCGTGCCTGCAATTACGCACGTAAGGGCAGCAGTAAACATGGAAAGTCGCCATGTAACATATTCAGTGCCGATGCGACCATAGGTGTTCGGCGCGTTGTTTGGTCACTAACCCCCTCACCCACACTACAACCCTCCTATCTCTCAAAACCATGTACAATGCAATATTTTTCAATTGTTTAAATTCAATTTTCTTTCCTTCATTTCCCACAAAAAATAAAAAAAAAATACACAATTAAACAAAAATGTGTTTAATATGACCCCTTTCGAAGAAAAGGGGTATATTGTTTTGCTAATGTCGGTCGGACGGTCGGTCGGGAGGCTGGTCGGTTTGTCGCTAGGTCTATAGGTCTGTCTATCTGTCGGTAGACTACATGGTTTCCGCTGATTATCTTGAAAACTATCTATCACAAAGTCTTCATATTTCACATAGTGATTGATCATAACAAGTAAATGAGCCCTATTGATTTTTGGATCACTAGGGCAAAGGTCAAGGTCACAGGGACATTAAATTTTAGAATGGTTTCCGCTGATTATTTCACACAGCAATTGATCACAGGGTTAGCTTTTTAAAAAGCTAGTAGCGACTCGTAATTTCGTAATTTTCTTCAAGGGATGTGTTTAAATGTAAAATGACAGTTCTGTAAGCTGAAGAGACTTCAGCGAACATCAAAATAAAAGTGACATATAAAGTTATGGAAGCCAGTTCTCTCAGTTTAACAAAGAGGAATATGAGTATATATGAAGATGCATGTAAACAGATATAATGAAGTCCCTATGTCTATGCACAGTTACTATACGGCCTGTTGACCTTGACCAAAAAAAATGTTAGATAGGTAGAATTCATAAAGATGTCTCTTTATACGAAGTTAAGTTGTAATATGTTATTAAGTATTGGAATGAGTGACAGACACAAGTCCTAAAGTTGTCAATAAATTCAGCCAGAAAAGCCGGGATCGTATTAAAAGATATAGGGATCCTGGAAATTGACCAGTCTAAGAAGATGTTTTTCAGATATGCCGGGATCGTATTAAAAGATATAGGGATCCCGGGAATACATACACTAAATACCGGAAAGGATAAAATGACCAAAAAAAAAGAAAAAGAAAAAAATGCACAGAGCCAGATGTACACTTATGTTAATTAACCAAACGAAAACTTACTACAGAGAAAACAGGTGAAACGCTAAATCAAAAGTCAGTGTTAATATGATTTATTGAAAAGAATTCATGAAAACAAACATTTTAATCATCATTATATCTTTGCGCTCAAAGCGATACTTGCTGCTTTATAAATCAAAGCACAGAAAGCGCTGAACTTGTTTGGGTCTCACCAATGCTTTCCAGCGTTTTAATTGTAGTAAATTGGCTATAAGACTGATTGCAACACTGATATTCAATCCAATGTTTATTTGACTTAAACAATTTGAAAAAAATGAGTTGCCTTTACAGGGATTTGAACTCCAGGCCTCTCGCTTCCTAAGCGAGCGTGAAAACCCTTCAGCCACGGTGAATTTATATGTGACCGTCCTGAAGAAAACCATATAATTCGATCTAAATTAGGGCTTGTAACGACTTTAACTGTTGTTTAACACAGATGTAAATAATCCTGGAGCTTACTATAAGCATGTATATTTATAAAGAATCAAAGGGCTGCAAGTTCTGTGGTATTTTCTGATCTTTGCAATCTAAATCGTACTGTATATCTGTATGTATTTTCCTGTATAAGTTTATTTTTATGTATTATAATTCATTTTGCTAGGCACCAGAGTTTGATACATACGGAATTCTACATAACTAGAGTTGCATCAATAAATCATTTATGTTCATTTTTTACGACAGCCACACTTTATCCTTGCATATCATGACACTTAAAAAAGAATTAAAAAAAAAGTTTACTCTACTGGGATTTGAACTCCAGACCTCTCACTCACTAAGCGAGCGCGTTACCCCTGTACCACGGAGAAGTTATACAAATAATGAGTGAATAACATCAAGTCATTCTAAATTGAGAACTTCCATTGCATTTCGGGTTTGTAATCCTTATTAATTTCGAGGTATTTTGTTTAGGATAAACCTGTTGTTTAAAATTGAAGTAAATAATTTAGCGAAAATCTTCTCGCCCAAACAGTCCGACATGTAGAATCTATATATTCCACTACTCGGTTTGTGTAGTATTCGGTAATCGACATTGCTAAAAATAGTATTTTCATTGATAAAATCATATTCATCCGCGTAATTTGTGATTGTGCATTTATTGACAATTCTATAAGCCAACGCTATTTTTAAACTTTTAATGCGTTGTAATTTGTTGGATACTTGTAACAAAATAAAAATATTTCTTTCTTTTAAATCGCTAGTTTAAAGCTGTTTTGAGAACTACTTGTTGTTAGGTTTGTCATAAACTTCTGTGTCAGAGATTGAATGTTTTTGTATTGTATTTACTTATTTTCGATCAGAAAATACAATAAAACAATATTAGAAATATTCGACCATTCGGGAATTATTTTGCTTGAATATAGATGTGCCTGTCTTTGACCATCTTTACGCAGTGATCTCCCCTGAATTTTTCGGCGTTAGTGTTACATATAAAGGGAAGTAACCGCTTCAAAAAAGTGGACTACTTTCGGCATTTGCAATTAACAACATTAGACTCTGAAATTTCGCTACCATTATTTGTTTGGTCTGACGACCCAAACAAATAAAAATGGCGTGAAAATTGAAGGTTTTTTGACGCTATGTAAGATTAAATTTGATTGGCTAAAAAATTTTGGATTCCAGTCCTGACAGATAAATTTTGTAGAAAGCTGGAAGACAAGCTTCGATTAAATTTTTGGATGGCTTCGGAGTTTTAGGTTGTTTCTCAGTAAAATCCTAACGTAATACCGGCTCGCCGTGGTGAGCCGGCATAACGAGTAGATGACTCTTATTGATTTTGGGGTCACTATATGAAAGGTCACAGGGGCCTAAAGTGTCAGAATGGTTTCCGCTGATTATTTTGAAAAGTAATCATCACAAAGTTTTCATTTTTCACATAGTAATTGATCACAACTAATAGATGACCCCTGTCGATTTTGGAGTCACTATGTCAAAGGTCAAGGTCACAGGGGCCTTAAATGTCAGAACGGTTTCGGTGATTATCTTGAAAGGCATTCATCACAAAGTCTTCATATTTCACATATTGATTTGTCATAGCTAGTAGATGACCTCTATTGACATTGGAGTCACTAGGTCAAAGGTCAAGGTCACCGAATAGTTTCCACTGATTATCTTGAAAGGTATTCATTACAAAGTCTTCATATTTAAAATAATGATTGGTCATAATTATTAGATGATCCCTATTGATTTTGGGATTCCTTGGTCAAAGGTCAACCTCACAGGGGGGGGGGGTCTTAATTGTAGTATGGTTTCCTCTTATAATCTTGAAAGCTATTTATCACAAAGTTTTCATATTTCACTAAGGGGCCTTAAATGTCAGAATGTTTTTGCTCATTATCATGAAAAAGTCTTCATATTTCACATATGGAATAGCCATATGTAGTAGATGACCTCTATTAATTTGGGATCACTAGTTCAAAGGTCAAGGTAAATATTGTTTCGCTTATTACCTTGAAAAGTTTTTATCACAAAGTCTTCATATTTCACATATTTATTAGTCATAATAGGGTCACTATTTCAAAGGTCAAGATCTTTATATTTCACGTACTGATTGCATATATCTAGTAGACCATTTGTTTTCTTTTTCCATAACTGAACACTTCATACACCCATTTATGGCAAGTTTCTATAACAAAATTACAAATGTGAGTCAAGGGCTAGAAAGGAGGACATATGTATCGTTTGACATTTCTTGTTCAGAGAAGAATGCATACCAAATTTGGAGTCAATCCGACTTATAATAACTGAGTTTTGCTCTGGACAAGCATAGCTGGTCATCGTCGCCGACGCGGCTGATACCGCAGACGCTGACACGGCTAATAAAAGTAACCCCTATATGTCGTGTTTTCAAAGGTGACACAGAAATGTTTTACTTCTGTTCCTAATATTTAGTGTTATATCAATGCGGTGGCAAAGAATTTTATCAAAATTACTCTCTTGTTTTTTTTTTCAATTATCTTCCTTAAATTAAAGGTCTCCCCCGACAAGAAATGAAATATATTTATCTAATTTCAATACAATAGCTTTTATATGTAGTTTACATTAAACCTGATAAAGTAACACAATCGGTAATTTCTGCCGCCATTTTAGCTGATAACTAATGAATATCCTGAAGTACCCAAAATCAATTAGGTAAAATTCCATTCTTTTTTCTGGTTTTAAATAAAAGTTATAGCGAAAAAACATCATATTTTGTCCAGTAATATGAAGTATTTCAATAATGTTTTTGCAAACTTAACTTGATTTTTGACCAAATATTAGCTAATATTGATTAAAAATGATCTAGATGTTAACAATAAATCTTAATGAAATTTTGAAAACAAATCCTGTGTTGAAATATAAAATTACTACTAGATAAAAAGGATAAAATGTATTTTTTTTTTGATATTTACTACAAAAGATTGTAATATCTAAATTTAATTTCATGATAAAATATCATCACAGTGGCAGTTAAACAGTATATTAACACTAAATAAAAATTGTAATCATTAATCTGATCTTAATTCATAAATCATGTTATTTTTACGTTAACAGGGGAGAATTTCTGGTGACATAAAAAATAAAGAAATACAATGTCAACAATGACATAATACTATATATGCAAGATACATCAATGCTTGTACATGCACATGTATATATCTACAGTTAAACTTCGTTCGCTCAAACTCGGGTCGGTTGAATACCTCCCCTTGCTGGAACTCATCGCCCAGTCCCGGCAAATCCCTATATAATATATATTGTTCTACCTCGGATCGCTCGAACACCCATCGCTCGAACTCTCTAACCTGATCTCTGGTCCCTTCGGCAGAAATATAGTGTAAATCACACCTTTTCGGTCAATCACAAGCAGACAAAAAGTAGCGGGTCGACATGTTCTAAATAATTGACAGTCGGCGACACATGTTTTTAACACCTCGATCGTGATCGTGACAAAGACTATTAAGGTTAATTGAAACATAATTGAAGGTGTTGTTACCGACTTGTGTGTTATGATGAAATTGTATATTTGCCGTTTTTAATAACGATAAAAAGAAAATAATTCCTGAAATGCGCTAACGTCAATAAATGAATGACGTTTACCCGGACGACTTTAATTACAACCGTGGTTCATGTAACGTGAATTGCAACAGTGTAATCTATTTATAGAATGATACTTGTTCGTGTGTTTATTTTAGTCAACGACAACAAATAGCTGCTGCTGTAAAATGTTTGTTTTTTAAAGTTTTATTAATCCATTGTTTAAATTAAAATTCATCCCATGATAAACATATAAATATATTTTGAACACTGTTCACAGTTTGGATAATGATCGCCCAATCGAACGTAATCAATTACAATATACATGAATAAAGATTAACAAAGTGTACCGTTAACACTGTTTCAATAGGATAATAATTCTTAATATGACGTATTTGACAAACAGATGTACTAACAAACAACTATATTTACGTACTTATCATTTGACCTATGTAAGCTGGAAAACCTTTAGGCCTATGTTCTATGTAAAAATGGTTCAACCTCGTTTGCCTCGAACTACCGACCTCTCGAACAAATTTGCAAAGGCACTCCGATTTCGAGGGAACGAAGTTCGACTGTATATAATATATATATTTTACATTATTCGGTTCAAATGTTGTGTTATTAGTTCAAAATTGTTTAAGGCATACAATGATAACTTCTGAATAACGACTTTGTTATCATCGTTTAAAAGCTCGGTAAATTTTATTTCTTTAGCATTTCTCCAAAAATATTCTTTTATATGTCGTTTGCGTAGATCAATATACAAAGGACACTGTAGTAAAAAGTGAAATTCATCCTCTAATGTTTTACAGATTAAACATTTACGGTCGAAATATGGGATTTTTAAAGGTTTGTGCCCCTGCCTATTTCTATTTCTAATCTATGCGCCGAAACCCTAAGTCCTGATAATGCAATTCTTAATCTTGTGTTTATGATAATATCCAAATACGGCTGAAATTTAAATTTTACATATAAATTATATGTTCTTGCTCTAGATGACCCTTGTAGTTGACTATTCCAATTTTGAATAAAACCACCAGTAAGTCTGCTTTTCAAATATTCCAAACATAAAGTTTTATTTCCTACTTCCTGAAACAACCATGCAAAAAAAACCTAAATTTTCAAACAACTCTTTAATAGATTTAGCCCAAGAATTCTTTTGGGGATGCATGTCTATATCATTCAACATTAAGAAATATACCTTTTCAATATACACTTATTTTCAACACTTTCAATAATTTTGAACCAATAACGGACAGCATTTACTAACTGCTTATAAAATAAAGTTGTTCGGCCCAGTTCACCATATATAAAATTATTTTGTGCTTGAGGCCTAACTCCTAGTAAATGTTTGCAAAATTGTTAGTGAACTCGTTCTATTTATTCTGAATTATAAAAACCCCACACTTCACTACCATAATTAAATGGGTAAAATAAATTTATCAAATAGATTTAAACAATGACTTAATGTAAGAAAAGGCAATTTCACTAGATACGATTTTAATTTGAATATACCCTTTAAAGCTTGACCACTGTTGATTAAAAAGAACAACCAGTACTAAATAAAATACCTAAATACGAAAAAAAATTGATGACTTCAATAGCAGAATTTTGATATATGAATTATAAGTTTTGTCTTTTTCTCCCGCCTTTTCTAAAAATCATTATTTTTGTTTTGTTCACGTTCACTGTTAATTTCCATCCAGTACAATAAACATCTAACAAATCTAAACCTTTCTGTAAACCTGACTCTGTTTCTGAAAGAATTACAATATCATCTGCATAAAGCAGTAGAAATATATTTTTAATTAACCTAACTGAACTCCTTCGAACCCATTTATAGAGAAATGCTCCTCAATGTAATTCAAATACATAGAAAATAAAAAAAAGGTGATAAACATTCCCCTAGACGTACCCAAAGCATACAAACATAATATTCTCTAACATTATTGTCATATTTAACAGATAATAAATACATATTCAAATGCAATGTTTTCGTTTTTCAAGAGCAAAGTATATAAACATAGCTAGATTTCCTACTAATTAGATATTCTAACTTGACATAAAAGCATCAATTTTATTAAATAAAGGTGCTACAGAATTTTTGAATTTTTCATTTAAATACTTTAAACTATTATACAGTGGACATGGCAAACATATCTTTTCATAGAAACCAGTAACTTCCCATAGAAACCAGAGATTCATATAAGTTCCATCGACTTTCCATAGCAACTATAGACTTCTTTAGTACCCAATAATTTATCATATGCACCATTGACTTTCCATAGCAAACATAGCAACCGTTGACTTACAATAGCAACCAGTGCCTTTCCATTGCAACCGTTGACGCTAAATAGCATCTGGTAACCAATATTATAACTATTGACTTTCCTTGGCAACCATTGACTTCCTTAGCAACCACTTAATTTCCATAGCAACCATTGACTTCCATATCAACCAGTGACTTTCAATAGCAATTAGTAACTTTCCATAGCAACCATTAACTTCCATAACAACCAATGAATTTCCATAGCAACTAAGTGAGCTATATTAGAGCCATAATGGTCCTCTTGTCAATGTGTACATGTAAGCCAATTTTTCTAAAACAAGATTCAATTGCTGGGACTTTGTCTAGAGGTCGTGACCTCTAGGAGGAGAGATTTTTCCTTTACAAAATCTTTTGAAATGATTTGAGGTGATGAACTCTATCAAGAGTGATGTTTGCTTTGCAGGGATGTTTATAAAATGACTTGAGCACATAAGGACATTGTGATGCACACAATTTTTATAATGATGATTTTAAATCATAATTGTCTTTTATTTTTTCAGAAAAAGGTAATGCTAAATTAGAAAAGATAATGTCGCAATTTATAAGAAGTATTTATTATATAAGAAAAATAACTGTAATTGTATACAAAGTTTCATACAGCTATGCAATACAGTAAAAAATCTAAATTTTTATTAAGTTACAATGCTTTAATTCTGAATCAATTATTATACTATGGTTTAGACACATCAACACAGACATTGTTTATCACTTGAATATGATCTTGACCCGAAAAGTCACTAGACACTCCTACATTTGGCAAATTGCAATTATATAGAAAATAAATCTACTTCTGTTACTTTAATTTAGTGTTGTGTAAATGCGGTGGCAAAGCATTTGTTACAAATGCAATCTTGTTTTACCTTGGGATTATACACCGCTTTTCATGGAATGGCTAAAACGTGTCACATCGAGAATTCCATGATCACCACCGTATGAACACATCTTCGGATGTTTCTGAATTAAAAAAATTAACAACATCAAATATTAAATGGTTGAATAGCACTTTCAAGTACTGTCCATGAACTATGGCTCAGTCAAACCGAGTCTGCAACATTTTCAATTTCTCTGTTTTGGATTTCTTTAGGGATTCTATTTCTCTCTATTCTATTGCATTGTAAGCTTTTGCTTTTCTACGCAATCTGTGACTTCCACAACAATTGACTTTTCTTAGCAATCAGTTGATTAAAAAGCAACCATTTACTTCTTACGTTACCAGTGACTTACATAGTACACACACAGTTTGCTTCAATAAGTACCATTTCCTTTCCATAAAATAATTGTTTTCATAGGAACTATTTAATTTTTATAGCAACCAGTGACTTCCATAGCAAGCATTGTCTTTGTACTTAACAATCAATGCCTTTCAAAATAACTATAGTGAACCTACTTTTAATTTTCATAGCAACCACTAACATCCATAGCAACCATTCATTTTGTATTGCAACAAGTGACTGATATAGTAACTATTGACTTTTCTAGACAATAGGAAGCAGTAACCTATTTACATGTACCTATTTACATTTAAAGTTCATTTATAAAATCAGTTTAATATTTAGACCTAATATCTGCTTTTTATTCATAGTTACCAGGTCGTCCGATTGTTCATAAATTTATTTCATGTAAGATTTTTTATAAAAAAAAGCAATTTAAGGTCAAAAAATCTGTTTGCTACTTTAAATTTTTCTTCCTTTACAAAAATGTAGAATCGATAGTAAATGCCTTTATAGAATGCCCGGTTCAATTAATTTTCAACAGTTATTTTCATTGCTTATTTGTCAGAGAACATCGGAAAAGAAAGTTAGATAACAGGAGGTACTCGTAAACTGGTAAAGTGACATAACCAAACAATGAGTCACCAGAGTGAGATAGAGAAGAAGAAGTACAGAAACTGGGTGAAAGGTGGATTTGCATATAAATACCTAAAACAAGGTCTAGACGGTTTTGCTGATGATGTTGTTAAACAAGAACAAAGCAGAATATTAAGTTCTATTAATTGCACACCAGGTACCATCTGTAATCAGTGCATCATTGAGCGTTTGCGACCAATACATGCATGCATAACAAATTCTGCAGGTAATTATGAATGCTACTGGGGTCAGCGTAAGTGTAATTGTTTGCACTTAAAGAAGAAAAAATGTCGTCTTAAAGTATGTGATTTCATTATGGAAGAAATATTAAAAAGCCATGGATCCACCCCACCAACACCAAACTGGGCAAATACAGATATACAAAAGTGGTGTACAGAGCCATGGGAGGTCGCCAAATGTTTCATCAATGCTCCTGGATATTCAGACAAGACAAAGGCAGCTGATATAGACATATCTGGATTACTCCATGTCTTCATTAATAACACCAGTCTTCATTCTCATTTAGCATGCTCCATGGCTGGAAAAAATATTTTTATCAAGGTAAGTAAGTAGTCGTAAGTAAATAATATCATGAATGTTGAAAAACATTATGTTTGTAAAATTTGTATTAAAATTGTATTAACAAATACATGTAATATAATTAAAAGATTTGTAGATTTAAATAATGGGCAAAAGGAAAGTTAAGCAGAACATTATCGCAGTTTCTTGAACATTACGTTAAATTTCTGTTAGTTTCTTTTTTAGATTAATGATATACATGTATATAAATAAATAAAAAATATTAACTTTATTGTTGTTTATCCATCAAATATTGTGACTTTTAAGTTTTGAAAAATAAGTACCGTACTAGCCAGTACTAGGGGGCGCGAGGGGTGTTTGCACTTTTTCATTATACCTCATGTACAGACTCAAACCGAGTCTGCAATGTTCATGTTATTTTGCTGTTTTAAATGCTTCCGAGGGATCACAAATTTTCCACATATTAAACATAACATACGTTTCGCGAATATCCTAGGTACGAGAAAGAAGAAACAAATTGTTCCATTCCGCTACCATGGAGACTGAAGAAGGGGAATTGGCTGAATGCATAGATGGTATCTTTGAAATTCTGGAAGACCCAAAAGAACTCAGAGGAAGACCTGAAGCTCTGGAAGCTGTCAACAAACTTAAACAGGTAAATAATGTTGCCTTATCATATGTTCAGAAAGTCTTTCTTTAGTGACACGATTATACAATTTGTTTTAAAATAAAATTAATGTATTTGTGTTCTTAAAACAGTTTAAAACTATATCTGATGATTTTTGTTTTTATAAAATTTATCAACGGTAAAATTATATCGTACATTATCTTATGGTAGATTCTTGAAAATGTTGTAACATAAAATGTATCTGTTATTTAACACACATGAATACTGTACTCAAACAGAATATGTTCCAAATCAAAATATTATGCTGCTATTTAAGGAGGACTTTTAAATATATAACTATGATTTACTGTATGCGCCATTTGCTTTAAGACAAAATACTACCATATTCCTTTCCAAGCAAGCATTTTGGATGATTTTTTGTTAATTCAATTCAAACAATTTGTTTTTTTTTTTTTGCGAAAATACAGCTTTATACATTTTAAATAATTTCATATATGTACACACATATGTTTGAATTGACACATTATTTTATGATATATGTCTTATTTGTTTGTATTTGTCCCCAATATAATAATAATGCCATACTATTTTGGACAAACACAAGAATGCTGCTGTCTCTGACCCGCTATTCTATTGTTATTTTCGTAACCTTTCTTGGTTTTCGTAATGTGAATATAATGTAAGGTTATATTTAATAAACTGTCATTGAGTCAATAGTCACAACTTTGATAATATAGTATCATTCTTTGTAATAGACGAAAGGGCACTATGTATAACTGTCAAGTTGGTATATGCAATACTTTTCCTTAAAATAAGATATTGTATTCAAATTTTGTATACATCAAGCCTTTATGAAGACACTGGATGGGATTGCTTTTAGTTCCCTGAAATCAAGGTTACTGTCACTAAAAATTAAAGCAAGCTTTTAAATAGA